GAGAGAAAGAAAGAAGGGAGAGAAAGAAGGAAGGAAAGAAAGAGAAAGTAAGAAATGTGCTGATGATGTCACTTTGTCCCAGAAGCTCAGAATTCTTTAAAACAACATTATTGTTTACAAAAGCCTCCTGATATTTATTATTTTCAGTAGTTGCTGCGTTGAAGAGAAACTTGTTGTTTGACAGGAAACACGAACCGCTTTATGTACGTGTGGTTATGATGAAATCAGTGTTGCTAGGCAACTGGAAAAAATAGATGCCGAGTCACTCGTAACTTCATAATCGAAAAGGTTTCACATCCAGCGGGACTCTGAGGATCAACAGGATCCAACAACAACCTGATGTGAGGTTAAAATAAATCAGATGAGTCTCAGATTACGTAACTGCTGATTGGCTCCCAGTAAACCTGCTGACTCACCAACCGCCACCTCGCCCGAGGCACCGTGTTCACTGCAGCTCCCATTATAACGAGCAGCTGCTCAGGTATTGATCTGCGTTACTGCTGCGCGTCTGAGTCACAGTGCCAGGGAGGGGGCACTTCCTGTTTCTGCCATGTGATGTGTGAACAGCGTCAGATCAGTAAACTGCAGATTTCCTGACTCGAACCACAAAACCATTCACACATTACATTTTCTGTGAATTAGACGACATGAAAGCGTTTGTACAGAGCGACGGTCGGCCTCACACCTCCTCTCATCAACGGTACCGCTTCTAAAGTGAGATCAGCTGTTCCTCCTTCATATCTGGAAGTTAGACAACCTGAAAACAAACTGAAACAAACCATCGACGTGTGGGCGACGAGGTGACGTTCACGTCTCAACAGCAGCGTTTTTGAAGACCACAGAACAGAAAGTGAGACAAACAACGAAGGAGGGTTTACAGAAGGTTGGATGTGACGCTGCACTCACCGATCAGGTAGGTCAGGAACAGGTTGTGCACCTGCTGTCCGATCCAGGCCACTGCGAGCAGACTGCTGATCACTGAGGCAAAGTACTGCGGAGAGCAGAGAGGTCACGTTACAACCTGCAGCGGTTCACACACTCATTCCTCGGCTGAACGCTTTAACTCCGTCTGTTTTCATTAGCAGAACGTACGAGGGCGTTTGAGGAACCAACAAAGGCGGTCACTGAATTAAAGAATGTGAGGGTGTCTAATAAAGTTAAAGTGCTGTGAAAAACCCGGTTATTGCCGCCTGTAACCCAGTTTGAGATCTGCTAAGTGGAGCAGCAAATCAGTGGAGGATATTTTTATCTGGAGCACGGAGAAAGCTGCACAGGACGCCACCGCCAACTCCTCCCGACAGATTCAAAGGTGTATTCACCATTTTGGGCTTCTCCTCCTTCAGGGTGCAGAGACGCTTCCACCAGCCCACCACCCGGCGCTGGGTCTTCACCAGGTTGCCGCAGATCTCGTGGAAACGCTGCTGCTGCTCGGTGGTCCTGAGGACGAGAAGGGTGCGATTAAAACCACAAAACTAACCGGATCCCGGCAGAGGAAGAGCTCCGAGAGGCCGGTGGGTTGTTCTGATGAAGCCCCCCCCCCCCC